ATCAGGATCAGAACCACCATGTGTTTAAGTTCTTGAGGCTCACAAAATGTGTTGACAAATATGTTTAACAGTTTCACAGTATCTAAGTTGTATTAACTTGTTTTGCTTTTTGCAATAAAAATGAAGGGGTAAGATCACATGGGTGGGATCCTAATGGATGAAATGTTGTAGACTCAAACCTTAAACATGAAGGTGTGCTTGTTCCTATGATGCAATATGCACTGGTAAGGTTTTGTCCTCGTAAACTGGCAGCAGGAGGGGGTCATACTTGTAAGCGTTTTTGGGAAGTGACTGTAGCCTCCTGTCTTTGGCATCTATATGCACATGTTATTTCTAGCCTCGACCAACCCTTATTTTGCAAATATATAGCATGAGATCTACATGTCCAGCAGCATTCAGTATCAAACGAACTGCATATGTACATGTATATGATTTACTAGTTGTGCGCGGAATCGATATGAACAAGTATGACTTGTTTAATTTCCTTGTTGAGCTTGCTGAGTAAAGATGGGAGATTTTGAGCATAATGCTAGTTTTGTCTGTGCAGTTGCCACAGGTTACAAGTTGCTCTTTGTTAGGATTGATTGGGTAATTGTGCACATTACCTAATTGGTTTTGTACCAGTTCATCTTTATTCTCTCAAGTTTTCTTAATGCTGGTGTTGGCTCCTGTGAATTCATCAAACCAGTCGACTGAATAGGCAAATGTTGTGAATATTGTGTCTTCCATTTCTGTGTATAAAGGTTATATCTGCCCATTGCTAGAATATGCAGATGTAGTGTGGCATACCTTATTAAGTGTTTATGTACTCGATCTCTTTAATTAGAAACATTGCAGTGAGGAGCATGCTGGATAATATTGGGCAACGGATTTACCACATATAAGTTCTTAAGGATGTTCTTAAGGACTGTGAGCATGAGCTCTGACTGGTAGTTGAGAAGGCCACTGTCAGCGGTTTGCTGAAGGCCTTTCCAAGTTTACCTGTACTAAGGACCTTACCCCCCCCCACTGATTTGAGTGTTATTCCGACAACCTGCGTAGAATAGACATAATGTTTCTTAGCTGGATACCAAGACTTTCATGTTCAGAAACAGCACCATCCCATATTTTGTTAATTTACTGAATAGATAATTTTTATCTCCCCTTTATGCAATATTAGTTTTTTTTATTTTCAATTGCCACTGTTATCTTTTTTTAATGGTGTTTTGTGAAGTACATGTATTTAAATCTATGGTTTTTGATGGAAAATCTGTGTGCTTTTAGGAACTGTTTAACTGTTGTAATTTTCACCGTAATTTGGTCTTTGGCCACGATACTGAAAACTAAAACAGTAAACAACAATAAAAAGTTTGTTTTATAAAAGATAATTGTAAAAGGACATTGAGCGGCTTGACTTCTTAAAGAAGTCATCCCTGGTAATTCAGACTTTACTGTGTTTTTATTTCAAGAATAACCAAAGTAATTTATACCACTCAGTGTAGTTGTGTGATTTTGATCACATGAAAAGGATGAACATAACTCCCTGTCATTGAGGTTCACTGAAGTAACATCCATGTCGGAAATTTTGAAGTGGACTTACATGTACAGAAAAGCATAAGAACATTGTAGCATTATCCAGTGGGTTGTACTATGAAGTTACTACTTCCAGTATTTTGAATTTGGAAGTTTATAAATTACAAGCCATTTTCTATTCTAAAATCAGAGAGGGGATTGGATATCTCACATAAGTGACTGGTTCGTTGAAATTCTTCTTTTAATTTAAATACAGGATCAGGATTGAAAAAAGGAAGAATATGAACATTAGTGCTATCATGTATGTGAACTATATGAAATTACTTTCAAGGCAGGACTTGAACTCATTTTATTTGTCATAGCTCCACTTAGTTTGGAAAGTATAAATGATTCCCCTAAAATTTCGGATAAAACAGGGTTTTTAAGGATTGATAACAGTTTTCCTAAAATGCCTGTTTTGAGCTGCAATTGTGTTTACCTAGATTAGATTATATTGTTCAATTTTTGTTAAGAGAAAAGTTGTGAAGGACATTTTAAGTGTAGATTGGACCTGAATTGTCCTTCCAAGCTGATTGGCAATGGCTACATCTGTGGAAATGCCATGGATCTCTCATGAAAGAGAACAAAGTATTGCAATAAGCTGAAACACAGTAGAAATGTACCTTGTTTAAAATTGCTGTGATGAATTGTGAACATTTGAAACAGTGAAATTTCATGTATGCCTATATATTATATTAAGCAGCCAAACACTTCAGATCTGAATCGGAATTTGTGTACTGTGGAATTTATCCAATCAACTTACAAAATTAGATAAATTTTCAGGTGAAATTAAATAGCAAAGTCAGCTTCAAATGCTCACAAGAGTGAACAATATTTTTGAACAAGAAGTTTTCTCTGCTTGCACATTTGCTTTGGAAAGGTGCATCAACTTTGCCCCCTCCCTGTCAATGTGGTTCAAGGTTGAAATTACTGTCAACATTTCTGTGCTGGCCAGTCTTCAACCCTAAACCCAGGAATTGTCATTTGCATAATTGAAACAAACATGTTTATGGTCACTGATTACTTCGTGTGTGTACATTTCATGATGTTCCATAGTGTTTTGTATCTGTTTTGTGAATTGAGGAAAAGCACTGAAATCCCCGAAAGTGAAATGCAGGTAAATGTTAAATGATAACAGGGATTTCTGGTATAGTTCTGTCTTCAGACACTGGGCTCTAGCTGCACAAGGTGGAACTTGTTGATTTGCTTTATGAAAACCTAGTTTTGTAGGTCTTAATTTTGAGGTACTTCTACCCCCATCTGGAACTGACAATTTCTTCTTTTCTGTTGCTATCTGCATTCCTCCAACAACATACATGTAGTAGTTACTGAGGAAATGTTGCTTTATTAAGTCTGTTGGAAAGGTATGTGACAATGCATGCAGCAATGCTAGACAAACACTGAGAAACTGATTTCAGAGCAGCCACCTACCTGTTCATTTTTTGCCTAGAAATATTAACATTTTGGGGTATCCAGTATCTTCCCTGTTTGGATTTCTCCCTCCATTTGTTATAGGAAGCCAGGCAATCTTGATGACATGAAGGGTTGCTGGTATCAATATTAAAGTGTCTGGAAAATGAAACATCAGACCACTGCACCTCAAAGAGAAATGATTGATAATACAATCTTCAGGGGACATTTCATTGCTTTTTATCATTTGGGGTGAAATCAATCAACCTGTCAGGTCTGGCTGTATTGGTCTTGAAGATGGTCTTGAGTAGTCTGTGCAAGGCAAATGATACTATTAATACCTACATGTTACAGAGGGGATTTGAACACAGTGTTTTGAGTAGACACCAGTTTTTGATCAGAAACATTTTAAGAATTTATTTCCAAAACACCATAAGTGCAATTTTGGTACCTTTTAAAATGCAACCTTCTCCTGGACGCTTAACGTCAGTTTCGATAAGATTTATGTACATGTACTTATAAAAAGTTAATAAATCAATCCATTTGGAAAAACTGAAGAACATCTGGTATACTGCTTTTATTCATTAATATATCACAACTTTGGAAAACTGGAAGGTTTTGCAAATGGATAATTGTGTTTTGGTGATAAATCTTTCATTTATTCAAAATTATTTTGAAAAATTCATTGTGCATTATCTCACTTGCCATTCTGATGCAGTTGATTTGCTTGGCCAGATTTAGAAATTTGAGAAAAACCATGTTGAGTATGGAGATCAGGGATAATAATAACATCCACATTATATCAAACTGAGTACTGTCAGGTTGGTTGACACCTAAACCAGTTAGTGGGAAGATGGGTGTTCGAAACCTACCGAAGTATTCTTCCAAGCTTTTTCTTGTAAGCCCTTTAAATGCACTGAGCACTGCTTGTTGAATTTGTCTATATTTGTTCAGGGCAGAAACCTGAATTTAAAATCTTAAAGCCCTTTTGGCCAAGTGACTTTGCAGTACAACCTAAAAAGGATGCAACTGACTCTCAAGGCTTATAAATAGCCTGTTCCCCCACTCCTCATCTTTGTTTCCTGCTGGCCCCTTCCCATGTTTTCCTAGGTGAATCCCACCTTTTGGCTTATTTGGATGACCCTTTGTAGCCTTCCGGAAGAAAGGAGGAGGGAGAATGTCGGGGAAGGTGAAGGGGTGAAGAAGGGGATTCCTGGCTGCATTTCTGGCACAGAGCCTTCTGGAGGACTGTTTGCACTGTCAGAGTAAATAAGGGATTACAGCCGTAATGTAATCACAAGAACGTTATCGGCAAACAGCACGGCAGATGTTCCTGATAGCATCCATACACACACTTTTTTCCCTCCTTCTCAATGCCTTTTATCTTCTGTGGTGACCTACTTCAGTTGTAATTGTTAGTGATATCTCACTTGGCAAATGGGCAATTACGGCTCTAATCGTGCAGCGCTCTTTATCCAAGCAGGGGCCCAATGTCACCGTCACAGACTTTTTACAACAACACTTATCTTTCTCCACGGAGAGAAATGGAGTAGGGAAAATTGTAAGAATCTATCTCACAGGCTCTCTGATTCCCAGCTGCCTGCCTGAGAATTATTGACAAAAGATAAAAAAGGCAAAATAAAAGAGGGCTGTCCGACTGGGAGTGGTAAATAAATTCTATCATTTGTAGGCATCCTGGAACCTGTCATGTTTGGTTAATCATTTGGTAATTAATTTGCAGGGCTTACATGGGCAAACCATTGTATCTAATAGCTGAATGATTGTTGACAGATTGGGAATAATGGATTGTTATCATTGCATTTCTGTTTGGCAAGGACTACACACTAGACTAAAATATCACTTTTGGGGCATAAAAATTAATGTATCATCTGCCCCTGTCTCTTTGGTTTTCTATCCAGTCAAATGTAAACTGTCCATTCAGTTTAAAAAAAAATTCAAGAGGTGGTGCATTTTGCATTTGCAGGAGAGAAAAAACATGGCAATAATTTGTCGTCCTTGTCCTTGTTCTTGCATTGTAGATTGTTGATGCTGATGGCAGAGTCAGATGTTGGATTGATGCCAGTGAGCCAGGGACTGGAAATTGGATGAAGTATGTGCGGAGTGCTGCCACATTTGAAGACCAGAACATGGTACCTGTGCAGATTGAAAACAAGGTGAAATAATGTACATTCATACAAGACTTGTATTTCTTGGCAAATGATTTTACGGGCCGCTTTCCCACATTTATGTTTGAGAGTGGCTTAGGTATTAGAGGTACTCAAGCAAATTTCCACTGGAATGTATTGTTAAGAACCATATAAAATCACGTACTTGTTTCATCTTTCAGCTGTCAAAAGTCTTTTAGCATCAGCCAATTTGACCACTGCCATGGTGTCACAGTCAAATATCAAGAAAGTGGTAAATACCATCTAATCAAAGCCATGTACTTGCCTAAGTTAGTTGTGTCAGAAATTGTCCTTATAAGTTGAATAAGTGTTTAAAACGATGTTATTCAAGCTTACTGATATTAGTAGAGGAATTTATCGCAATGGAACCCAATCAAATTTTATTAGTGAGCAATAAATGTCGACACATTTTTCATCAATCCAAAATGCCCTGACATGACAGATATCCCACTACATGAAGATTAATGAATGCTTGAATGCACGTTGATCACACACTTAGTAACGGGCCAGGTAATTCTCCTTTACACCTCACCAGTAATTAGTCATAGTTTTCATACATGTCATCTGGCTGTGTGCTCAGTACTCAGCTCGGGAGGGAAAAAAAAAGCCAGACTCTGTCACCTGGCGTTGCGGGCGGAGTCACAATTACTGGTGTAGTGCTTGTGTATGTGGAGAGTGGCCGGCCAGAAGTAATGTAATGCCTACGTTGCTAATCGCTGAATCATTTGGTCATGCGGCTTTGGAGGCCCCTTCCCTTCATCTAGGACTTCTTAAAAGTGTGGGTGAGGCAGGAATGTCCCCTGGCCAGAGGTGTGAGAAATGAGTTCCCTGATCAAAAACGTGACAACTCATCAATCATCAGAGGCAAAGGCAAAGCTTATGGCGCATGAAAGGCCTGTATACATGAACATGACATAAGGGTGCATAACAGACAAACGGAATCTTTTGAGCAATGCAAGGCAAGCATATTAATTTTTCAAAGTTGCGTACATGTGCTTACCAGTACTTTTCCAAACTTTGATGTTAAAAGGGTGACAGATGAGGAAAGATGAGCCACATTGAATAACCTGTCCCCCATTTGAATGAAGCTAATTTGTTGTCATACATTGACGAATGAATGAGGCACAGACTTTGACAAATATTTTTTTGTTTGGTCTCTTCAAAATGCCAGAGCTTGGATCAAAACCTTTGGGGTTATGGAAGGGGGCTTAATTGGGTTTAATTAGGGTCAAAAGATATCAGCCAGACCTACCCAAAGGAATGAAAAAGGGATGCCGGTATATCCTTGCTATCATTTTCCGAGAACAATTATGCACACGGTATTAATAAATATTTTTTGTTAAATTGCTAGCTGCATCTTTTAACAACTGTCAGGCCTGTTTGCCATTGTACTTGTTCAAAGCTGCCTGAAAATGAAGCATATCAGAGAGTAATGGGCAGGGCATTTGCAGATTGTACAGTTGCTGGCAGGTTGACAGTACCCTGTGAACTCTGTTCTTGTCACATGAAGGTTGGGTAAGCATAAATAAGCTTGCTCATGAATCATTATTTTGCTGTGGTCACTACATGATGGCCATTGATATCGACAAACTGCATTTTCTTTGGACCAACTCAGTGTTCAGTTGTTGCTTTACTTGTACTGTACTGCAGGTGTATTTCAAGGTGATCCGTCCCATAGGCCCTGGTAAGGAGCTCCTTGTGCTGAAGGAAGCAGCATTCCCTGACCAGGAAGGCATCCCCATACAACTTGTAGGTGAGCAGACAAGTTTATACATCACACATACTGCAGGTCTAGCAAGGAACATGTCCGGTGCCAGGAAGAAGGTCGTAAGGGTGAAAAATAGGTCAAAAGTTCAAAGTAAGGTTTTTTAAATTGATAGAGCATTAAAATATCTTTCATTTGGTATACATGTTGATTCAAGCGGCTGAGTCATTCTAAAGTAATTAGCAGAATGAAAGGGACGGTAGGTGGTTTTACATTACTTTTGCCCAATGTTACCACATAATACTAATATAACAAAACATGCGCTAGAGTCCCACTGAAGTGCAGATGCAGTCATAGTCTATTCCGGGCAAAAGGTTGTTAGGACTTTAACGTGCTGCTTTAGTGCCCATTTTAGGAATGAGGAGTTCCCAGCAAGAGGTTGTTAGCATAAAAATATAAATTACTGTTAAAAATCAAGATTTTTTATCCATAAAAATGTTAAATCTTTTTTTATCATCAACAAAACTTCATCTCTCTAAAATTAAGACTTGTGTGATTTTTTATTCACAAATGGGATCCCCAAACTTTAAGAGTGATTACCTAAAATATTACTATTTGTTGTGCCTGGACTGCTATTATTATTATTATGATAAAAGACAAAACAGACAGAATGAAAAAAACATAAAAGCTATAAGTTGCCATCTAGTAACCCATACAAACCTGAAGCATCAAGTAAAAACACAAAGGAAAAAAAGTCATACAAGAGATAAATCATGATCCAATGAAAGAAGGAAGGCATTTGCCTTCTCTTCGAAAGAGTGGATGTTGCCAGCTTCACGTATCGCACCATCCAAATAGTTCCAAAGTACAACTGTACTCGGTAAGAAGCAGCGTTGGTACTCGCTAGTGCAGCATCTCATCAGCTGCAGACTATGCAGGTGCATCGTACATGTACGTGAGAGCTGAGTGCTTCTAATGGGCACATTCACGTCTGGAATAGAACTGTATGATGGATGGGACAGATCGGACCGTATCTTATATAGCATACAGTATTTGCTGATACTTTGACAATGACTCAAGTTGTACCGAACCTTGCCACCACAAAGGAAATTGGCAGTTTGAGAAACTTTGTCCGTGAGATGATAGTGAGACAATTCTGCAATACACAGTGATCTCAAGTGAATGCGTGCACTATATGTAATTGCATTCATAACAAGGTTTTTACAATGTTATGTGTGGGTTGAATTTTCCAGTGATGGACCATTGTTAGGGTGTTTTGTCATCAGCAGGTCACGTGTGTGAACAAAAAGACAAGCCTCAAACATTTGACGCCAATGTTTATTCTTACAGTCAATTGGTAATTCAAGAATTATGCTGTCAGGATTGATTTTTCACTAAGTTTTGAAAAATTAAAGGTCTTTTCATTGTAACTTCCGGTCTGATGTCATCAGCCTCAAACTTCACACAAATGTTCTTTGAGTAAAAGTCATCATATCTACCAGTTTTCAAGTGATTACAGCAAAATTTGCTGCAAACATCTGTTGCAAACGCATTTTTTTATGTTTTTCAACCTGCTGCTAGAGGGCTCTCAAGAATTTTATGACATTTTTCAAAGTTTTGAAGAATACTATCTTGTCAGAGAAAAAACATCATTGAAAGCAATTTCATACCTGTTTACCAATTTTAAATAATAAGGCACTTCTAGATTTGATCATGAGCAAGGGTCACATGATATTACGTACACAACAAAAAATGAAGACTTTTGTATCAGTGGTGACCACAGGTTTTGTTTAAAATTCTCAACATCTCAAAAAGACAAATTTGAGCACGTCTGTCTATTATACTGTTCATTTTGTTTATTGAACACTTTCTTAGATGCTACAAATATTTGCTGAGCTCATATTCTTCTTATTCTTATTGAGAATGTTTCTCATTGGAGGTGGGAGGTCCTTTGTTACACAACATAGATTTTTTTATATTAACTGGATAAAAACAATAAATGATTTCTCAATATTATAGTTTTTGCCTTCAAATCTTTCTGAAGATGACAATGTGTGGCAGCCTTAGAGCTGTTAGGTCTCAGTTCTTAGGAAGCCCTCACTGTTGGTAGTGTTACCGGATGGTCTGTGTCGCCTACAGCTCACTGCCTGGTATGCCCAAATTGTCGGCGTGATCATGGCAGGATAAGGGCGAACTAAGCAACATATAATTACACATAAATAATTCAATAATGATTTCCACTTCATAACTTAAACTTCAACAATCTTAGGCAAAATCGAGTCTTCTCATTCTACCAAAATATCATACAACTTGTCATGAATTTCAATGAATTCTCTGGCATTTCTTTGAAACTATAACTAGTCAGTCACTCTGCAGACATTACTACAAACTAATCAATCAATCATAAACAAAAGAGAAATTATCTTATATTTTTCAACTAAATCTCAGCACTGAATTTACCCTACTTCACTTCTTTTAGCTTAGTTCATAAATAAACTTACAGTTTTGGGACTCCGTTTTAGTTTGAGGAAGGGTCACAGGTTGGGTGCTGCTATACTGGTACCCATGCTGATTCAGCTATGGGCTGATAAATTTGTGCACTGTGTCATTTTTCCAAGCTGGTAAAAGTTGATGATCATTAATAGATAAGAAGCAAGAATCAGCCAAACCCTGGCTATCGTTGGTCTTCACTTCTGCCTATCTTGAATTTTCTCACTCTCTCTCTGACCGTTCCTGTCTTGATCTAATTATTATATAATGAAGCCATGTGATGTTGACTTTTTCCCATGTAGCAGTGCATGCTCCTATTGATTTGAGTCATCTACCCATGATTTAGTTGTGTGACGTGGATCACATGTACATCAGGAATTAACTACATGTATTTTGGCCAAATGTCCCAAATATGTCTCTGAGGAAGCATCCGTGGATAAAACATTTCAAGATATTTTAAAGTTCCATGTCAGATATCAGACTTGAGTCATATGTTAACAGCTGTGGACAGCTAAGTTTAAAGTTTTGAACATAGGGCCTGGGAGGGGATATGTCTCTTTCAACTTTTTGACAATGGGGATGGACCATAGAACCCAGAGGGTTTTGTAGAAACACCCCCCCTCCCCACACACACACAATCAAATACAGATGAAAACAAATTAGAGGCCTGGAGTCAATGCAATATAAAATTATCCCATAAAATTCTAGTTTACAATGGTTGAGTAGTTTGACTGAGGGCTGAAATGCAGCCATGTATATGTAGATATCAACGTTAAATGAGTTTTCTAGCACAGTCTGATATACATGTACCATCATTTTCGGAATATACGCATCCCGTAAAAATCTGCAAATTGAGATTTAAAGCTGGTGTATTAGCCGCACTTGCGTATAAGCTGCGCCTGCAGTGCTGATGTCCAACCATGTAAATCATTGCATGTGCTATGCGGTGAATGGCCAGTACATGTAAAGTATTATATGACACACTTCGATGCTCACTTGACTTTCTTCATACAGTGCTGCCAAACCTCATGGCTGAAAAACTTCAAATGGTATTATTACCTCCATAATACAGGCTATTGAACTTCTCTGAACAATTTCAGTGTCAGAAAATCCCACAAAAACATTTCAGAAGTTCTTTAAACTTCACAAAATATGGAGGGCCTGATGTTTTGATCTTAGGAAGATCTTTCGCGAAGGCAAAATGACAAGTAGACAGGACAAACAAGCAAATGCGAAATCAACCAAGCATGGACAAATGCAGGAGGACAAAAGGAAAGGTCAAGAAAGCTACAGGCTGGATAAAGGGCCAAGGGATAAAGGGGACTGCATGAAAGGCATGGTGGAGCAAAACGGGATGTAAGGTGGGAAGAGATCAAAGAAAAAATACCATAGAAGGAACTTGGCCCCAAGGGAGGCAGGTTATAATCTGCAGACAAAAGAGAGGGAGAGAAAAGAGGGTTAATTAGTAGTTTCCCTCTTGGCTGTTCAGGCCATGGGGTTGTATGGTACAGAGGCATTTGATCCAAAGCTTCTCTGTCTTGAAGCGAACAGCATCTTTGTAGTGCCCAAGTGATTCTATGCCCAGTAAGATCATGTCAGACATAGAATGGTTAGGAAGGTTGAAGTGGTGGCCCACAGGGGTATCTAGTCATTTGGTGTTGGTCTCTCTGACAAACTGTACACTGTGTAAGAGATAAGATATATGACATTAGAAGAGTTACAAGTGAGAATGCCTTTGGTTCTGTGGGTAGTACCGAAGGAGTGTCCAGAAAATGTATTTGATTCCAGGGCATGGTTCTGGCAAACAACACCTGTTAGATTCACACTTGAACGTGCCATGCTGGGAGGGGGGAAGGGTATCCAAAGGGGGCACTTCTGCCCAAAGGATGAGGTCCCGTATGTTGCGGGGGACACCTGTAGGCCACAAGCTGGATGTCTGGCATGGCGGTGGCAAGGCGGTCTGAAGTGTGGAGGATATAATGATCGTCCTTAATTATTCTGTGGAGGGGAGGAAGTCAGCATTTGAAAAGTGGTGACCAAGGGAACCCAGGGGATGGTTTCTTCATGGGGGGTCTTCTCCTTGAATGCAAAACTTCTAGGGACGGAGCAGGCTCTATTGATATAGTGTTAAGCTTGGTGATACCTGTGTCCCCTTACAATCAAATGCCTCTTCAGTTCCTGTTTATGACGGGAGAAATCAGAATTATTAGAACAACTGCATCTCAGTCTGAGTGCTTGGCTGTATGCAGTACCAGTCTTGCAATGTCTAGGATGACAGCTGGATGAGTGAAGATACTGATGGGTATCTGTGGGCTTGGAATACAGGTCAGGAGTCACAAGGTTGTTCTTCTGGATGCTGACATGAGAAAGTTTGCCTGATGGAGGGAATATTCCCAAGTGAACTTAATTGTCCTGTGGACAGAATTGATATGGTTAATGAAGATGTTTAGACTGTCACAGTCACTGGTCCAGATGAAAAATACATCATCAAAGCATCTCCACCAGATCCAAGGGCGGCATGGTGCTGAAGCAAGCATGCACTCTCCAAGGTTACCCAT